TGGCCGGGAGCGGCCACTGCACTCCAGTCTGCGCGACAGAGTGAGACTCCAACTCAAAAATAAATAAATAAAAATAAATTTTAAAAAGGCAAAGACCATCTTCCTTTAACAAATTAAAAATAAATCAGCTTGATTGAATTCCAGATGGCCAAGTGCACCACAGCTGACAAAGATTGGATGCCATGGCCAGGCTCGGTAGCCCAGCCTGTAATCCTTGCACTTTGGTAGGCCAAGGCGAGTGGATTGTCTCAGCCTGCGGGTTCGAGACCAGCTTGGGCAACTTGGTGAGACCTCGTCTCTACAATAAGTCAAAAAAGTTAGCCGGGCATGGTGGTGTATGCCTGTAGTTCCAGCTACTTGGAAGGCTGAAGCAGAAGGATCACCAGTGCCCAGCAGGTTGATGCTGGGGTGGCTGCAAGCATGCCACCGCACTCCAACCTGGGTGACAGAGTGAGACTCCATCTCAAAAAAAAATTGGATGCCGTTTTCCTGGCCATCTTAACCAGGTGGTGGCTCATGTCTATAATCTCAACTACTAGAGATACTGAGGCAGGAGGATCACCTGAGCCCAGTATATACACATACACACACACACAAATGAATGGATCCTTTATCCATTAAAAAAAATAAAAGAAATAAAAACCATTCTTCTGAGAAGGGACCCCATGAGTTTAACCTAAGCGCTACTTTGTATGTAGAGAGAAGGAAGCCATGGTACCCTCTCCCCCCCCCCAAGAAAATTTCACTGGCCAGCTAGGTGCAGTAATCTCAGCAATTTAGGAGATGGAGGCTAGAGAATTGCCTGAGTTCAGTGGTTCGAGATCAGCCTGGGTAACTTGGCAAGACCTTGCCTCTACGATAATTTTTTTAAAAATTAGCTGGGTGTGGTGGTGCATGCCTGTGGTTCCAGCTACTTGGAAGGCTGAGAGGAAAGGATGGCCTGAGCCCAGCAGATCGAAGCTGTGGTGGCCATGAGCATGCTACTGCTCTCCAGCCTGAGCAACAGAGTGAGACTCCGACTCAAAAGAAAAATTCACTGGTCTATGGCAAGATAACACTTCAGCACCATGGACAGAGCTTCCCGGACAAAACTTTCTCCTGGGTTCCCAACCAGTTCTGCCTGAGATCAAAGCCATGTAGAACAAAGATGCCTTCCTACCCCAACCTCGATAGCCCAACCGGCTTCTCCCCGTCGTCCCTTACCTGTCCTGCCAACATCTCATAGAGCAGGACTCCAAAGGACCACCAATCCACAGACTTCCCGTAGGGCTGGTAAGCAATGATCTGGTGGGAGGGCAGAAGGCAGGGAGTCATGATTGGTTCTTCAAGAAGTCCAAGACCCCCTCTGGTCTCACCCTCTGGGAGCTCTGCCCACGTTAAGTGCTTTCAGCATAAGCTCTTTGCACTCTGAACATTTTCGCCAGGGCTCAAATCTTTGGAAAATTTAGGAAACTCATTAAGGTTGCCTACTTAGAACATTTCTTTGGTCTCAAACATAAACACGACCTCAGGGCCAAGGGCCAAGTCCCGCCCACCTGGAATATTTGGGATCCTAGACCCTCCTCTTCAAATGTCAGGTGTGTAGAACTAAAAGTGTCAGAGACCTGAGATTTTTAAACCTGAATGCACATCAGACTCATCTAAGGGGTTGTTTAAAATTTAAAAAAAATATATTTTCAGGATGGGCAGTGCAGTGGCTCATGCCTGTCATCTCAGAACTTTGGGAGGCCACAGTGGGAGGATCACTTGAGCACAGAAGTTTGAGACTAGCCTAGGAAACAGAGAGAATTCATCTCTACCAAAAATTTAAAAAATTTTTTTAAAATAGCTGGGTGTGATGGTGAGACCCTAACTCAAAAAAACAGGCTTTTTAAAAATCAAAATAGTGCCGGGCTCAGTGGCTCAGCCTGTAATCCCGCGCCTTTGGGAGGCTGAGGTGAGTGGATTGCCTGAGCCCGCGGGTTCAAGACCCGCCTGGGCAGTGAGACCTCATCTCTACAATAAATCAAAAGATCAGCTGGGCGTGGTAGCGCATGCCTGTAATTCTGGCTACTCGGAAAGCTGAGGCAGAAGGATCACCAGAGCCCAGCAGGTCGAGGTTGCGGTGGCCAGAAGCGGCCACTGCACTTCAGTCTGGGCGCCAGAGTGAGACTCCAACTCAAAAAAAAAAAAAAATCAAAATAGCACATATAGTCAGGCATGGTGACTCACGCCTGTAATCCCAGCACTTTGGGAGGCGGAGGTGAAAGAATGGCCTGAGCCCAGAGGTTCAAGACTAGCCTGGGCAACATGGCAAGACCTCATCTCTAAAATAAATAAATAAATAGCTGAGCGTGGTGGCATCTATCTGTAGTTCTAGCTACTTGGAAGGCTGAAGCGGAAGGATCGCCTGGCCCAGCAGGTCGAGACTGCGATGGCCTGAGCGTGCCACTGCACTCCAGCCTGGGCGACAGAGTGAGACTCCAACTCAAAAAACAAATAGCACTTATGCCCCCCAAATTTGTATAACTATAAGCATATCGATTTAAAACAAAACAAAAAAACCCTAAATGTTCCAGTTGTGAAGAATTCCAGGCCAGGTTCGGTTGCTCAACCTGTAATTCCAGTACTTTGGGAGGCCAAGGCGAGTGGATTGGCTGAGTCTGCAGGTTTGAGACCCACCTGGGCAACTTGACAAGACCTCCTCTCTACAATAAATCAAAAAGTAGCCGGGCATGGTAGCCTGTAGTTCTGGCTACTTGGAAGGCTGAGGCAGAAGGATCGCTGGAGCCCAGCAGGTCAAGACTGTGGTGGCTGGGAGTATGCCACTGCACTCCAGTCTGGGTGACAGAGTGAGACTCCAACTCAAAAAAAAAAAAAAAATGTGTATACATTTTTTGGCACTCTGTATATATACAATAGTGCTGGGGTCTCACTACATTGCCTGGCTGGTCTTGAAATCCTGGGCTCAAGTGATCCTCCTGCCTCAGCCACCCAAAGTGCTGGGATGACAGGTAGGAGCCTCCGTGCCCAGGCAATATGCACATGTTTTCAGTCTTCCACAGGTGATTCTGATTACCAGCCAGGCTTTGTGGCCCCCAACATCGATCACTTGGGCACTAGAACTGATCACCTGGAAAGATCAAGGGGCAGCTCCTCAATCCCAACCCCCTCCCCAAACTAGAAAGGTCAGGTGTCTGCCCTATCCACGTATCCATTCTTTCAGAACATCAGTGCTGCCCCCTTAATAAAAGCAAAGCCATGCCCCTCCCACTTAAAATCCTCAGGGAGCCGGTTTGGTGGCTCAGCCTGTAATCCCGCATCTTGGGAGGCTGAGGTGAGTGCATTGCCTGAGCCCGCGGGTTCAAGACCCGCCTGGGCAACTTGGCAAGACCTCATCTCTACAATAAATCAAAAATTAGCTGGGCGTGGTAGCGTGCGCCTGTAGTTTCAGCTACTTGGAAGGCTGGGGTGGAAGGATTGCCGGAGCCCAGCAGGCGAGGCTGCAGTGGCCAAGGGCGGCCACTGCACTCCAGTCTGGGCAACAGAGTGAGACTCCAACTCAAAAAATAAATAAAAATAAAAAATAAAAATATAAAATCCTCAGGGATGGCATCTGCTCTCCCAAGACTCTTGGAGATCTGATCCTGCCCTCTCCGAATATCCAACACATAGCTGGGCACTGTGGTTCATGCCTGTCATCCCAGCACTGTGGGAGGCCAAGGCGGGAGGATCACAAGAGCCCAGAAGTTGGAGACCAGCCTGGGCAGCACAGCAAGACACCTGTCTCTACAAAAAGATATTTAAAAAATTAGCTGGGCATGGTGGTGCATGCCTGTAGTTCCAGCTACTCAGGAGGCTGAGGCGGGAGGATCTCCTGAGTCCAGAAGGTTGAGGCTGTGTTGAGCCATGATCGTGCCACTGCACTCCAGCCTGGGCAACGGAGTGAGATGCCAACTCAAAGAAAAAAATGTTCACCACAGGCCAGCCCACTTAGATCAGAGACCCATGTACAATACTTAAGAAATGCACTTCTGTCCACCTGAATATATCAGGGCACGCCCTATCCCATCAGAATATCGAGGGGACATCCTTAGCATGTTGGAGTTCTCGGGGGCAGGCCACCCCCACTCAGAGCCCACCAGAAATAGTCTCCACTTTCCTAGAATGGCCAGGAACTGACCCTACTCAATATTCCCAGAAGCTGGCCCCCTCAGAACATTCACCCACAGGGGCCACCCACGTAACTATTTAAAGACCCAGCTCTGCCCACTCTAAACGCTCAGTGCACAAGCTCACCTGCACTGGACGCTGGTGGGAGGACTCACTGGGCAGGAACGCCCCCAACCCCTGATAAGGCCCCGGGCCAGGCCTCCCCCAGGATGAAGAGTAGACAGTCAGCCACGCCCACTGAGAGATCTCAGAGGCACGCCCTAAGCAGCAGAGTTTGGGGGGTTACCTCGGGGGCTATGTAGTCCGGGGTCCCGCAGAAAGTGCGGGTCGTCGTCCCTGGGAAGACGTTCTCCTTACACATGCCAAAGTCAGTGATCTTGATGTGACCCTCAGCATCCAGCATCACATTGTCCAGTTTTAGGTCCCTGGGGGGATTGGGGGCAGGGGGGAATCGAAAGGAGGGTTGAGTTCAGCAGGCTGGTGCCGCATGTTCAAATCCCTCCCAGAATGCACCTCAAATTCATCTCTCCCTGTATGCACATCAGACTCACTCAAAGGCCTGGGAGGCCGGGTGTGGTGGCTCACGCCTGTAATCCCAGCGTTTTGGGAGGCTGGGGTGGGAGGATCGCGTGAGCCCAGGAGTTCAAGACCAGCCTGGGCAACATAGCGAGACCCAGTCTCTACAAATAAATAAATAAATTAGCCAGGTGTGGTGGCACGTGCCAGGAGTCCGAGTTATTCAGGAGGCTAAAGCAGAAGGATTATCTGAGCCCAGGAGGTTGAGGCTGAGGTGAGTCTGAGTAGCAGAGTGAGAGCCTGACTCAAAAAAATATAAAAGAAGAAAGGTCTGGGACTGCTCACCTGTAGATGATGCCCTGGTTGTGAAGGAAGAAGAGGCCGATGGCGATTTCTGCCGCATAGAACCTGAAGAAGCAGGTGGGAAGTCAGGAGGCCCATGGCTGGACCCGCCCCTGTCCCAGCCCTTCTCTCTTGACTGAGACTTACGCTGCATGAGGCTCCTTAAACTTGCCCAGCTGCTGAATGTGGTACATCAAGTCTCCCCCGGTGACATACTCCATCACGAAATACAGGCGATCCTGGGGAGGTGTGGGTGGGCTTAGAGGCAGGGGCACTCGGGACGAACATGCAGGGCTCTGGCTCCATTCAACTGGCAATCCAAAGCACCTGGCCACACTAGCTCCCTAGGGACTCTCAACCATCAGCTACTCCAGCCCGCTTTCTCTGAATTGAAGATTGAGGCCTACACCATTCACTGGAAATCTGGGGATGCCAAAACCTCTTTCACACACACATGCAATTTTGGCCACCTATTAGGAACCAAAGTTATTCAAGCCTCACCTGCCATTCATTTTTTTTTTTAATCTAGGAAGCTGACCACGCTCATTCAGAGCCCCTGGAAGTAGAGACATGCCCTCTCAAAACCTTGTAAATTATGACTCCTTACTCCATGCTGACATATCAGGGAAATGCCTCTTTTCTGACACGTCCTTCAATCAGAATCTGAAAATGATGACCTTCACACTCAGTGCCTAATTCTGGGCACGCCCACTAAGAAGGCATTCTTTTCCACTGTATCCCTTTAGCTCAAAAATCCAGATGCTGGCCACACCCTAACTCCAGACCAAGCTCACCGGGAAAAAAGGCATTTTGGCCCCATGGGGGTGGGGAGGGAGCCCACCCATCTGGCCACGCCCCCAGAGCGCCTGCACTTGACCACACCCACTCAGGGTTCCACACCCACTCGGGGACCCCACCCATCGGGCTATGCCTCAGAGCACCTGCAGTTGGCCATGCCCACTTGGGAGCCCTACTAATCTGGCCACGCCCCCAGAATACCTGCCTTTGACCATGCCCACTCAGGGTTCCACTACCTAGCCAAGCCCCAGGGCTCCTGCATTCTGGCTGTGCCTATCCAGGATTCCATCCACCAGACTACACCCCCAGAGTGCCTTCATTCTATCATGCCCATTCAGGCGTCTATTAACTCGCCACGCCCCAGAGGGCCAGTATTTGGCCACACCCACTCGGGGGCAGCACCCATCTGGACTTGCCCCCAGAGCGCCTGCATTCTGGCGATGCCCGCTCAGCTTTCCATGCACCTGGCTATGCCCCTAGAGCGCCTGCATCTGGCCACGCCCACGGGGCGGGACCCGGTCATCTGGCCATGCTCCCAGAGCGCCTGCATTTGGCCACGCCCACTCTGGGCCACACCCCCCCAGCTACGCCCATGCTGGCCACGCCCCCAGAGCGACTGCATTCTGGCGATGCCCACTCAGGGTTCCATTGCCTCACCACACTCCTAGAGCGCCTACATTTGGCCACGCCCACGTGTGGGGGGCCCAGCCATCTGGCCACTCCCCCAGAGCACCTGCACTTAACCACGCCAACCGAGGACCCTATCCGCCTGATACGCCCACTGAGAGACCACGGGTTATTTTGCCTTGCCCTAAACTCAGAATCCCAAAGCAGGTACCCAGGCCATCCAGAAGGGGATGAGGCAGAGTTCCGGAGACAGCCTCCGCCCCCTCCTTCCTTACCGGGGTCTGGAAGGTGGAGTGGAGCTGGGTCAGGAAGTGGGGCCGACCACCAGGACCTCGGCCCCCCAGCGCCAGCACGCGTTTCTCCACCAGGGTGCAGTCCACGTCGTCATCCTGGACGATCACGTCCTTTTTCAGGATCTTGATGGCATAGAGCTCATCGGAGCCCCTGCGCTCAGCCAGCATCACCTGTGGACACAGGTCCAAAGGGGCCAATCCATTTGAGAACCCAGTGACACAGGACCTGCTCCCTCTCCCTCAGGGATACAGAGAAAAAGGACCCCAGGCCTTTCCTTCCTTCCTCAAGGGACTGGGTGTCCTGCCTTGCCGCCCACCCCCTCAGGAAATGTCCCCATCTTTAAACCTCTCTGCACCAGAAACCAAGAGGCCCAATCTAACCCTATTAGGGGATGCAGAGGGTCCACTTCCTTCCTAAGGACCAGAAATCTGATCTCCCCATAGACATCCTCCCCTTCCCCACAGAGGCCCAGGAATCCAACCTTCCCAAAACTGCCTTTTCCTAGAACCATGAGGAAGCTGAAGTCCGAGATGTGCAGGCGTCCGGGGCTGGCCCCGAAGAAGCAGCGTTTGGAGTCGGTGGGACTAGGGGAAGGGGAGGGAATAGGAGAGGAAGAGGGACCCATCCGCACCCGCTGTGAGAAAGGGAAGACAGACACAGAGTTAGTCAGATCCCACACAGGGATGGGAAGACATCCCCAAGAGAGACAAAAGGGATGGGAGAGACAGAGACAAAAATGGTCACCCTCCCACTTTGTCTTTGGCTTACTTAGTTTTCTTTGCCTCCACATAGCCTGGAGGGTTTATTTACTACTTGGCTAACTCTTAGCAAGCTTACTATATGCCATCTCCAGAAAACCCTGCCATTATCCCCATCTTATAAAGACGTTAAGTAGCTTGCCCAAAGTCACACAGAAGGTAAACAGCAGAGCCAGAAATCATACCCAAGCAGTTCAGCTCTAGAGTTCTGTTGTTCTCCGCCTCTAAGCCAGAATCCCCTAGAAGATTTGGCAAAACAGGGCTGGGCGCAGTGGCTCATGCCTGTAATAATTCCAGCACTTTGGCTGAAGTGGGAGGATCACTTGAGGCCAGGAGTTCGAGACCAGCCTGGGCAACATAGTGAGACTTCATCTTCACAAAAAAAATTTTTTAAAATTAGTCGAGCATGGTGGTACAAGGCTGTAGTCCCAGCTGAGGTGGGAGGATCACTTGAACCCAGGAGTCAGAGGCTGCATGAGCTGTGAGCCTATCACTGTACTTCAGTTTGGGTGGCAGAGTTAGACCTCGACTCAAATAATAATAATAATAATAATAATAATAATAACAACAACAAGAGCTGGGCATAGTGGCTCACGTCTGTATTCTAGTACTTTGGGAGGTGAGGTGAGGATTGCCTGAGTCCACAGGTTTGAGACCAGCCTGGGCAATGTGGCAAGATCTCGTCTCTACAGTAAATCAAAAAATTAGCCAGGTGTGGTGGCACACGTCTGTAGTTTCAGCTACTTGGAAGGCTGACACAGAAGAATCATCTGAGTCCAGCAGGTCAAGGCTGCGGTGGCCATGAGTATGCCTGGGCGTCAGAGTAAGACTCAACTCAAAAAAAAAAACAATAACAACAACAAAAAAGATTTGGCAAAACAGATTGCTGGGTCCCACTCCCAGCTTTTCTAATTCTGTAAATCGGGTGGGACCTGAGAACTTGTGTCTCTAAAAAGTTCCCAGGTAACACTGCTGCTGCCAACCTGGGGACCTCCCTCAGTTTCAAGCCAGGGTACCTTCTCTGCCTTTTCCTGTGTTGGCCCTCAGGAGGGGGGCCCGTGACTGAACTACCATAATGGCTTCCACGCCATCCCTCTCTGAGGACCGCTGCCCTTTCTAATGCTTCCTCTCCTCAGCAGGCAGAGGGACCAATTTAAAAATAAATAAACCAGGTCACGGCTCCCCTATGCTTGTAAATCCTTTAACTGCTTCTCTCTGTGGTGAGATTTCCTTCCATGTGACTTGCAAAGCCAGCCTCTGACTGACCCTGCAGGTATCTCTTCTCTCTCCCCATCCGTCCATGGTCCAGCCTTCCCGACTTCTTTCCCAGCTCAGGGCCCAGCTCTCTCCTTCCCTTCCCTCCCTGTTACCTCCCAAGCATCCTTTAGACCTTGACTCTAGCCTCACTTCCCAGAAGCTTCTCCTGACTTTTTTTTTTTTTTTAACTGGGTCAGTTGTCTCCCTCACGACCCGTTGCCACCATGGACAGCGCCTCGGTGGCACCTGTCTTGGTAATTTACACCTATCTGTGTGACTATCTGCTTGTCGCCTGTGAGGTCCCTACAGCAGGGGACTGTTAGGTACTCCAAGACAGTGATAGTGCCAGGATATAGCAGGAGCCCGATAAGTATTTATCAACGACGCAATCTTGTGCAGAAGAGCAGTCTGCCTGGACTCAAACCCCAGCTCTGCCTCTTGGTGGGATATTTCCATCGCTTCATCTCCAAAGCAGGGATAATAAGGACTATCTCTCACCTGCACAAGCTGTGAAAATGTCTACACTAACGAATGCAAAGTTCTTAGAATTGTGCCTGGAACCTAATAAAGACTGTTTGTGGCTGGGCATGGTGGCTCACACCTGTAATCCCAGCACTTTGGGAGCCCAAGGTGAAAGGATTGCCTGAGCCCAGGAATTTGAAACCAGTCTGGGCAATATAATGATACCTCGTCTCTAAAAAAAACCCTGAAACTTAAGAAGACTATATTTGCCACATTGTTACTCCCAGTACCCGCCCTCCAGGGTCTGACACTTTGTAGGTGCTCACTGGTAATATTTACTGGCACCTGCTAAACCGTGGGAGACAGCTGTGAACAATGACAGGGACACACGCCATCCCCAACGTCCTGCCTCCAGGCCTGTGCCCACCATCTGCTGGGTCTCCCTAGACTAAACCCCTTTATGTAAAATGCACAGGAGATTATTCCTGCTGATCTCAAAAGACTCCACCTCTCTCGGCCAGAATTTCCTTCTGCAGTCATTCTTGTCTCCAGCAAAGCTCATTCTCAAACTAGTAATTACATAAAAGAACCACCGGAGTTTATCTGATGTGCAGACATTTAAGCCATCAGAGAGATTCTCACGTAGTAGTGCTGCAGAGAAGCTGGGGAAATAGGTTTTTTGTTTTGTTTATTTTTTGGCAGAGTTTCACTTTGTTATCCAGGCTGTGCAGGGCCACCATCATGACTTACCCCAGCCTCGACACACTGGGCTCAGGTGATCCTCCTGCCTCAGCCTCCAGAGTAGCTGGGACTACAGGCAAGTGCCACCATGCCTAGGTAATTTTTTTATTTTTTTTTTGTAGAAATGAAGTCTTATGATGTTGCCCAGGCTGGTCTTGAACTCCTGGGCTTAAGCAATCCTCCAAGGGTGGCCTCCCAAGTGCTGGGATTGCAGGTGTGAAGGAACCACCATGTCCGGCCTTTCTGTCCTCCTTAATGTTTCTTCTTCTTTGTATTAGTTATCACCTTCTAATATATCATCATATGCTTATTTATTTGATTTTATGTCTTCCTCTGAGAGGAAGTTTCCCCATGGGGAGAGATTTTTTTCCTGTCCATTCCCTGTTGTCTATATTATAATCTCCAGTGAGTAGAACCATTCCTTGCACACAGGTGCTCAACCAGGTGTGCTTTGAAAGAGTAAATGAGCCCGGCGTGGTGGCTCACACCTGTAATCCCAGCACTTTGGGATGTGGAGGTGAGAGGATTGCCTGAGCCCAGAGGTTTGAGACCAGCCCGGGCAACTTGGTGAGACCTCGTCTCTACAATAAATGAAAGAATTATAGCTAGGCGTGGTGGCACATGCCTTTAGTCCCAGCTACTTGGAAAGCTGAGGTGGAAGGATAGCCGGAGCCCAGCAGGTCGAGGCTGCGGTGGCCAGGAGCATGTCACTGCACTCCAGTCTGGGTGACAGAGTGAGACTCCAACTCAAAAAAAAAAAAAAGAAAGAAAGAAAAAAGAAAAGAAAGAACGAGTGAATGAGATAGAGAGCATTACTTCCTTCTGCCTGGAAATCTGGTCTCCCTCTCCTTTATCTGTGAAATCCTCCCCTTCAGCCAGGTCTCAGGTCTCCAGGAAGCTTTCTCTGACTCAGGCTGTGCCGGGACTCCCTCATGCCTGAGGCTATCTCCATGACCAAAAGCTTTCCTTCTTGCAAATGTCTCCATCTGTCACTTTCTCCAGCCCTAGGAGAGGAACTCCCCCAGAGAATGACCTGGTTCTACTCCCACAACAGGGCCTGGCCATGATACCTCAGAAAGCAGTACTCGATGAGTGAAAGAGAGAGAAAGGTCACAGTGATTGATAGATTTAGAAAAAACAAAAAAAAACCTCAAGGATCAATTCAGGTGTCACCTCCTCTGGGAAGTCCTCCCTGACAACACTCCCCCAGGCTGGGTGAATGCTTCCTCTGGGCTTCTTGAGTGCCCTGGGCTACCTCTAATTTAGGACATATTCCTGTATTTTAAGGATCTGTGACTGTGTCCCTACCTTGGGGAGTTGCTTGAGGGTCAGATTCACCTCTGGATTCTAGGATTATTCAGCAGGCACAGGACAGACCTGGCACAAAGTGTGCACTCAAATGTAGAATTAAAGGCAGAAATCAGAGGAGGGACAAGTGGAAATGGTGGAAGGAGAGGGAGGGAGGGAGGGGGAGAGAGAGAGGGAGAAAGAGAGAGAAGAGAGAAGGGGAGTGGAAGGAGGGAGGGAAGAAGAGAGAGAGAGGGAGAAGGGGGATGAAGAAGGGAGGGAGAGAGAGGACAGGAGAGGAGAGGAAGAGAGGGAGAGAAAGAGAGAGGCAAAAGAGAGAACAGAAGAGGAAAAGGAGGGAGGGTGGAAGAGGGAGGGAAGAGAGGGAGAGGGCAAGAGAGAAAGAGGAGGGGAGAGGAAGGAGAAAGGAAGGAAGAGGGAGAGAGGGAGAGGGAGAAAGAGAAGGGGGATGAAAGGGAGCAAGCAAGAAGAGGGAAGAGGAAGAAGGGAGGAAGGGAGAGGGAGCAAGGAAGCCAGGTAGAGAGGGAGAGGGAAACAGAGAGAGAGAGAGAGCTCTCAGCTTTACTCACCTCATACAATTCCAGAGGATAGTTACAAGCCTGAGGGAGAAGAAAACCAGAGTTGGGATCCCAGGAGAGTTACAGGATTGCCTTAGAGCAAGGGCTAGTGGCCCCTAATGCCTTCAAGTCATGGGGATGGACGTGAACTACAATTCCTATCAGACCTTGCGACTAGAGTCCCCTAGAAAAGCAGAGGCAGGAACCCCAAGGCCTTCTGGGAATTGTAGTCCCGGGGCCCACAGGTTCCCCGAGGGTGGAGGGAAGGGCCAGCTCTGAACTGCGGGAGGCTGGGCTGGGCTCCCGTGGGGAAGCCGGGGTCTGGGTACCTCAAACTTCTGGAGGAGGCTGCAGTTGTCAGCATCAGCCACCGGCACATTGTAATATTCGCCCTCCTCCTGGTTCAGTAACTTGTACCTGACATACAGACGGAGACGGGAGGGGGAATTGTAGGGCGGGAGACGGGGCACCCATGGGAGAGGCAGAGACATTCGAAGGGAGGAAACAGACACGGAGAGACGACACAGAGATGGAGAGAGAGTAAGCGTAAGATAAGGAGAGAGGAAGGGGGAAGGGGGGAGAAA